GAGAGGTTGGATAGGAGAGAAATAGGACGGAAGTCGTGCAGTGAGGTAGGATTGGCAATTTTATTCAAAGGTCAGACTAGGGCGGTTTTCCAGGAGGATGGGAATATGGAGTTTTGCAATGAAAAATTGTAGATATGATAAAGAACAGGAATAAGGTCAGGAAGGCTGGATTTTATTAGTTTTACAGGAATATTGTCAGGACCATAGTCATTAGTGTGGGATTTTAGGATAATGTAAAGTAATTCATCATAGAACGCGTGGGAGAAAAAGAAGTCTTCAGAATTGAATTTGTGATGTTTAATATCGAAAGTATGAGAGGAAGAGTGAGTAAAGGATAAGAAATGGTTATTGAGATCATCTGGAGAAAGAGAGAAGGAACTATGATTGTTGGACTCTGGTAGGGATAGGTTACGGAGTATTTTCTATTTAGATTTGGAGTCGGGAGCATTGGACAGGGCATTATGGAAGTAGGTGGTTTTAGCTAGACAGACTGTGGATTGGATTCGAAGCGCCTTGAAAGACGCATAATCCACAGCTAGACGGAATCAACGGTATTTGCTATAAGTGGCAGTCACTTGGTGCTAGGTCTGGTGAATAATGAGGGTGGGACAAAAGGTCCCATCCATGGCTGAATAATTTATTGCGAGTGACCAATGAGGTGTGGGGCCTAGCGTTGTCTTGGTGGAACACAACACCCTTCCGATTTGCCAATTCTGTGCATTTATTTTTAATTGATTGATCCAATTTTGTTAATTGTGAGCAGTATAGAGTTGAATCAATTGTTTCTCTTCATGGTAAGAGTTCATAGAAAATAACACCCTTGAAATTTCACCATATGGAAAGCATTATCTTCTTTGGATGCACTACTAGGTCCCCAAGATTTTTACGGACTACATTATCGTAAAATGTCCATTTTTCATCTCCTGTTACCAACCTTTTCAAAAATGGATCATTTTGTTGCAGTTTCCGTAATGAATCACAAACAGAAATGTGTGTTGCCTATTTGAGAGCAAGGAGGGAGAAACATTAAACAAAAAACAAAGAATTTTTTTGCAAATGGTTTTCTACGCTTGTGTGCGACACATTTAGGGCCATAGCAATCTCTTACTCTGATTGGGTGGGATTTTGATCCACAATGGCCTTATCATTGCTCTTTCAATTTCATGATCGTTGAGCATCATTGATGTCAAAATTTCCTGACTGAAATTTGGCACACCAATTTTGACAGGTGTGTTCGGTTAAGGCATCATTCTCATAAAAACTGAAAATTTTTCTATGAGCTTCTGCAGCATGCTCACATTTTTTAAAATAATACAACAAAATATGCCAAAAACAAACACAATGCTAAGCTAGTTTTAACAAGAGTTAATAGATATAATTGTTGACACATTACAAACAGGATAAACAATCCACCTTAGGGATTAATTCATCAGATAAGAAGTGTATCATAGAGACATAAAAATAAACAGAAAAATCAATGACTCATTTGCCAACCCAATATATTGTTGGAAAGTGGAGAATTTTAGAAAAAATTATATCAAATAAATAAAGTCGTAGAAGGTAACAGAGAGTGATGAAAAAAATATAAATAATAATTTCAGAAAACTAACATTATTTAACGTAAATCACCTGTTTCCAAGGAAATTTTCTTACTAAATGTAGACTTTAAAATTTTTTTCTAAGTTTGAAAAAAAAGTACTTAAAAGTCTACTGAATTAAGCCAATGCCATTGTTTAAAATACTATTTCATTGTACTTACGTGAAAGAAGAAATGAAATATAAAAATATTTGGATATGTTTATAACCTTAAATACATTTACTATATTTAATAATTCTAGATATGATATTATATTTAAATAATTATGTATCTATTGGCTGTTTATCCCAAAAAAATCATCAATTAACCTTTTAGAAAATTAAATTATTAAATCATTTGATGAATTTTCTCTTTGTGAAATCCTAACATTATCCACTAATAATTAGTGTGATAACTTTTGGCCTACTCATGGCAGGCAATGGAAAACTCATAATCTAATCTTGGATTTAAATGTCCGCTTTGAGAGCAATGGCCTCGATCAGGCGAGTGAAGTGGAAAGGGAAAAGAGGAATATATACGACAAATGCATCCCTTTCCTAAAAGAGAAATTCCGCGAGACCTTCAGAGAGTTCACCGTGAGAGGCCTTGGGTCTCGCGGAACGATCCCGGAAAGAACAAGGAGCTTCCTCGAGGAACTAGGTGTTGATGTAGGGGTTTTTGAACCACATAATTCCAGTCTCTTAGCTACATATGCCAGGAGAGACTTAAAAGTACGTCTGTATATTTAATCCATAAATGAGTATGGATTGTACTAAATAGTACAATTAAAGGAACTAAATATAAATAACAATAAACACGTTATCAACTTTTTTCCCTTGTAAAATTTATTAAGTTAGAGTTACGAGATTTAACATTGTCTACCATCAATAGGTTAAATATCGTCACACTAATGGATAATATTATGATTTCACAGAAAGAAAAATCATCAAATTATTTACTAATTCAATTTTCTAAAATTTTATATAACAATATTTCAAAATAATTTGATGGTAAATATCTAGTCATTTAAACATAATGTCGGATCTAGAATTATTAAACCACAGTAAATATATTAAAGGTTATAAACATCTGTTTTACTTATACGCGAAATATTTTTACATTTCAATTCTTCTTTCGCACAATTACAATAATATAGTTTTTCAAACAGTGTCATTGCATAGATTTAATGAATTATATATACTTTTTTTTAAAACATAAAAATAAGTTTAAAACTATAGATTTAGTTAGGAAAATTCATTTAATTTCCTTGGAAACATGTGGTTTCCGTAAAATAATATTAGTTTTCAGAAATCATTATTCATAATTTTTTTGTCACCTTTCATTATCTTTTATTTTATAAGTTTGATACTATTTTCTAAAATATGCAGTTTTTGAGCTAGACTGTTCACATACACATATACACACAAACAGGCCATTCTGCAGGACTAGGTTATAAGTACTCAGGGAACCTCAAAGTGTGTATTTCTGTTGAAAACTCAGATTCGAAAATTTTCACGATCGTAATAATTTTTATTACTATATATTTCACATATCAAATGGTCAATCAATATCCCATGATATGAAGGCACGAAGATTAAGATGGATGGGGCATGTAACTCATAGCGATCCATCTGGAAGCCTCTATGCTGCAATAGAAGGCAAAACATATCTTTTTTATTACTTTCATTCTTAATGGTTCTCTTCCTGTTTCGAGGCGGACTATGTAGGGTATTTCTGGGCCAACCAAAGAGTTGCTTTAAATATTTAAGTTGGACCGTTTCGATTGCCTCAAAATAATTGGGGCTCCATATTTCAGAAGCATAAAGCAATGTTGATGAGACCATGGAGTCAAATAACAATTTTTTACTTTTCTGAGAGTCACTTTTCCCTTTTCTTAATATGTCTATGACTCTCGCAGATGCCACTGATGACTTCTGAGTAAAATGTTCACATGCTTGTTTAAATTTTCCTGAAGTTGTGAAGGGAACTCCCAAATAAGTATACCTTTTTGTATATTCCAATATACTGTCATGCCAATACAATGGTTTGAGCTGTTTAAGCCGTGGAGATTTGTGGAAAACAAGAGTTTTAGATTTGTCTACATTTAATGTAAGAGAATTGAATTGTTGCTGCAATATTCTTGTAATATTTTGATATTCTTTTGCGCTCCATGCCAATTATTACTTAAAAGAATAATATCATCAGCTAGAAGGAGCATTGTTACCTCGTGTGAGGTATCTCATATATATATTGTCATGTAAACATTACATGGCATTTGAATATTGGCGCGAAAGTGGTAACAACACGAACTACTGGGAGGAAGTGCGTGCGGATGGTGGGGGAAGCAAGTCTCATGTAACTCAGAATGTGACTGGCCGCCAGGAGAGAAGGTGATAGCGGCCAAGAGAGAAGGTTATGAGCTGCCAAGAGAAAAAGTGACAAGCTGTCAAGAGAGAAGGTACTAGCCAGCAAGCTGAGAAAATAGAAAGAGCCACAAAGTTTAGACTGGGACAATCAGGGTTTTTGAAAACAATAATAAATTTTATATGTATAATTAGTGTATTTAGTAATTAGTAAATTATAGTTATTTAATGTTGAATGAGTGTTCAGTTGTCAGAACCCAACCTGAGATTTATGTTATATGTCAAAATAAATAGTATATTGAAAAAGGAAACTCGTTTGATTTTGGAGGGAAAGAGGAACGTTACAATATATATAGTTATATATATATATATATCACATATAGATAAATGAAAATAAAAAACAACAAAAATATAAATAAGTTATTTATTACGTTCTTAACATAATTTAAATCAAACTTCAAAATTTTTTTATTTAAAAAAAGATATTTTACATGTTAACATAATTTAATAGAAGTTTAGTTAACAATATGACAGATAATATATATGTACACACAATAATCTCACATAATTAATGCTTTTACCAAGATGAACCATAAAACATTCAATTAAATAAATAAAGTTAATATTTATTAAAACAGAAATTTGGTTCATGTTAATAAAAGCATACTTAACAATGGAATGAATATTTTTGAAATCAGAAAAGTTATTTATTTATTTTCCTTTAAATAAATAATTATTGAACATGGGTTGCTTGTTATAATGAAAATCCGGTACATACATATCCTACATAAAATATACATTCCAAAGGTTAGTTGTAAACTTAAAAAACAATTCTTTATATACTATGAACATATTTACAAGTATTATTTTAATAAAATAAACTATGTATTTCGAGAATAACTTTAATCATGAAGTTAAAAAGAATAAATCTTACATGAGGCAGCCCTTTAATTAATTCTAAATACTGTCATTGGTTCTTTTCTTTGGATGGTATTAATTGTTATGAGTAACATGGTTTACAGCATTATAGTTTATTTGTAACAACTATTGCTCGATTATCATTAGTTGCAACTTTTGTGTAACTTCGTGGTGTTCTTGATGTCCAATGAAGAATCACATACCATGCAGATAAGAAGCCAGCGATACCATTTGCTGCACTTGAGCCAATTAGTAAGACAGACAGAACATTCCACACCTGAAAGAGGAAAATATGTTAAAAACTAAACTATGTATTAAAAAGTTATATTCACAATAACAAATACTTTTTAATCTAAACAAAATTTAAATTGTCTGTAAATTGAATTTTACTAATTCACTTTATAATTATGTTATAGAACTTTACTATTGTCTATATGACATTCAATCTTTTAGGAGGCAGGTATTTGTAGACAGGATTGTTCAAAACCTATCACATTAAAACTGTAAGCTATAATGTTAAATAAATATTTTATGGACTGCATCAGATTTTTAAGATGAAAGACAACCTCATTAAATACTATTGAGAAAACAAGAAAATAATAAAGCTATGTAAGGATGTCAATTTCAAATGATACTAAACATAATTTTTTGAAATTCATATTTGGGTTTCTAAAATGATTAATAGTTTATAGTTTCAAACCAGAACCTACAGCAACCATCTTAAATTTAAGAAACATATATATTTCAATATGAAAAATTAATAAAAAAAAAACTTCAAAATCAATGTTTAGGATATAATATCTTTTGTAACTGATTTCTAAATATATGAAATATTTTATATACAACTAAATACCTACTTCTGGACAATTTAAATCTGGATAAGTAAGTGCATAGGCAGCAGCTTTGCAAACACAAATAGCATGTAGTTCATTAGCTGGTTGACAAGTACTCTTATAAAGCCGGACAAGATGGATTAAAGCAAAACCACTTGCACAGAATGCAGCAACACTAGCAAACAGTGAGCACAAGATGCTAAAAACCTGTCAAAGAAAATAATAATAAAATATTAAATGTAAAATACGTTTTTACAATAATACTACTTTAACATTATCTATTAATGAAATAGCCCTAAGGGTTTATGGGCTCTAGATTTTTTAGATTTCATATTTTTATTTCTTAGAAATATTTTTGAGAAGTTAAAGGTATTAATAATATAATAGTTGTTTTATATGGAGTGAAATAAATAAAAACATTAAGTCTCATAAATAATTATGTGGGGAGAATGTCTGAGAACTAGTGTGACGTTACGTGAGTAGGATACACAGCTTCAGGATTTAATTAATGTGTGGTCATTTGTGTTGGGATCAACCGCTCCTGCTTCTCATCAGGAGCATATTAAAAAGTAGTAGCCCTAATTGGTAAAATTGTTTGGGCTCCTACAAAAGAAGTTTCTATTCTAAAATTAAAAGGATCCTAATTCTTGCAATAATGGACTCAATTCTCAATTAAGTGCAACAATTCTCATTTTGAGTTGACTGAGTTGGAGGATTGAACACAGAATACCTATCCAGAATACATGATGTTCAGTATATTTTATTAATATATATATATATTTTAACTTAAGTAACTACAATATAATTTTGCTTTTTTAATTATTTGAAAGCTTCAATTTTTATAGAACACCCCAGATGCAAAAGTTAATACATTATATGAAAAAATGATAGATCGAACCTATACAAGGAAAGATAGAGAAAATAACTTTTTGTTCTGGATTTTCATCCAAAAAAGTAATATTTTAAAAATAAAAAATTGACAGATATTTGAATTAATTATATAATAAAAATTCATTTTTTAAATATTTAGTTTCTGAATCTCTGGTTTCAATAAAAGAACATTTCAGCAATTACCCTAGATTTCTTATAGAATATTTAAAGAGAATCTAAAAAAATAGATAAATGGAAACAAATAACGTATGGCTACAATACCAGAGTGATATACAATATTTTCAAACTACACAAAGCAACAATTTTCCTATAGTTATACCTTTGACATATCAGTATATCGACTACTTCAAGAGAGAACACAGAAAGATTTGATTCCTTATGTAAATAATACAAAGGAATGTCAGAAACATTAATAAAGCCATTTTAGTCAGAAAATTTACAGTATCAATCTTGTCAAACTAAGGTGGTTAATTGTATTATAAATCTTAATGTTTAGGAGTGATTTGCAAAATATAATTTAAACATAAAATATTATAATATTTCATAAACTAATTTTTTTAAATGTATTATCTTTTTACCAAGGACTAAAACAAAAAAAATATTCATTTATTCTTATAAACATTAGGTTATGTACCAGTCTGGTTGTTTTGAGTTTGCAGTACCCAAATCATTACATTTACTAAATAAATTATAGAAATTCACTATAAAATACTAACCTTGAATCCATGGACGTAGTATTTAGTTGGCATTCCAGGGTACTCTTGCCTACAAGAGCAAACAAGAATTAATCCAATCACAGCTGAAAATAGTACCTAAAAACATACAAGATTTTTTTTATTTGATTTGATAAGTATTAAAATATATATATATTCAATGCTTATAAGGAAATGTTTCTTTAAACCAATTCATTATATATTGATTCATGTCAGTAATTAAATAATTAATTATGGATAGAATAAATTAATTGAATTTTTAAAAATAATTTTCATTGGCTCTTCACATGTACTATGATTGTAGAAAAAAATAAGTCAATTAATGAAAAAAAAAATAGAAATAATCTTGGAAACCTTATTAATAAATAATGATTAAAAATTAAACTTTAGTAATATTTTAAGTTTACTAAATAATAAATCCATGGATTTTAAATTCTAACAAGGAAAAAATAAAGGACATTAAAATTGTTGTGAATAGTTTTATTTCTGACATAATAATGATTGATTATTGATAAGGTTGAAAGAACTGGAAATAAAAAGATTTTTTTTAGCCTTTATCTTGTTAATAAGTTTACTTTCATCATCAAATTTAGAAGTGATTATTTAGTCAATTAATTAGAGCCATTTTGGAACTATAGTAAAGATATAAACTGATGGACATGATTAAGGCATCACCTTATTCCTATAACAATTACGTGTACTTAATATATGTGAACTTATCAAAAGTCTATTGGCAGTTTATGAAAATCTGACTTTAAGTATAGTTCAAACAGAATATGAATCAGCTATGTTTATCTTCTTTTCTCATTAAATTCTTTTAGTCACTTTAGAGGCCAAGTTTATGTTAGGATATTTCTTTAATGCCAATCTACTTTGCATTATTTTACTGACATAGGAGATATTTTCTCTCTTAGATATATTGTTTAAAAACATTTCAATGACTTTTAATAAAAGTTCAAGATATTACAGTTCTCTAAAAGCATTTGTACTATATTAACATACATAACAAGTGTTAGAATGTCTAATGGCTCTAAATTCATCACATATTAATCGTTATGTTCTGTGATAATTTGAAAGGATATGTCCAAACTTGCCAGATGTTCATTACTGGCGGATCCAGGAATTTTCTCATGGGGTGCACCTCTCTACCAGGTGCCTCCCCCATCCCTACTCATTCCCCCACCACTACCCATATCCCCCACTCCTTAGCTGAGTTTAGCCACTAAAAAGTCATCTTTAAATGGTTTTAACAAAAGCAAATTCTATTTTTATTTAAAGTAAATTTTGTCTAGTTTACAGTGAAGCAGTCATTAATTACTTAAATTAAATAGATTTTTAGTTATCACTTCCTATTCAACAAAAAATGCGATTTACTTAAAAAATCACAAAACTTTGATTTCCTCATTTCCTGCGGAAAATCGAATCATTGTTTATATAAACTTTTTTGTATTTCTTGAGTTCTGCTATCACTCCTTTAAATATTTACCTCTATTTACAGGACACACTGTACATGGGTTTAGACATTTAAAATACAAAATTGCTAACACTGGTCACCAAGAGAAAACTTTTAACAAATAAAAAATCCAGATTTATCTGATCTTTTTTTTTTAATGTATTACTACTAAACAGTGCATCAAAGCGAAAAACGCATTCTTTAAGAAATTAAAGAACGTCAAATTGTGCGTAGAAAGAATACCTAAAATTAATAATTTTATTAAATGATATGGTCGATAACCACGGCCAATGAACGGTAATTTTTACCAACATTGTCAAAATCAGAGACAGATTGCTATAAATGGCCCAACTTTTGGAAATGAGTTCTCTAAGAAAAAAAAAACATAAAAAAAAAACGCAGTGTAATTTCCGATTGCTATCAAATCGGAGACTAATTAATTAGTACCTTCCTTCATGAAAACGTTTCCAACAGCAGTTATTTTAAGAAAATAACAACACTTGTTATTTGTACATTTGTCTAATGACAAATATACAAATTATTACCGTGACCAGTTTTATGAATCGCATGGATTCTGCAAGAAGACTATTGAATCTGGAGGAGGTTGCAATACCAGATCCATTGGAACTGAATAAACACTGGGTCCGGGAGAAAAACCTTGATTTCTTGTGCTCGAATAAAAGATTGTTCGAAAGAATTAATGAAGTTCATTTTTTTTTTAAATTAATTTTTCTCCATCATGTATTTTACCAGCGAGACTCAGTTCGGAGTCAGTAGAAACAAACTGTGACAGGAGCACAAGCCTTCGCATCTCACGGTGGTCCAAAATCTACATCATTTCACGCTACGAGCGAATCTTGGGATCAGGCACTTTGTAAGAGAGTACTGTTAGAGACTAGATCTACCTTAGGAGGGATTTCTGTCTAAACGGTAGATCCAGGCTGACATTAAAGAATAAAAAATTACTTGCTATAGACATGCTCTAATTACACACCAGGAGAATAAGAGTAAATTTCCGTACTTACTGAGCTACTATGCTCCCCTATTAACGTATCTCACAAATGAAAATTATTTGCTCTTCTTAAATAATGAAATATAGTAGTTTATATATTTTTTAGTTTCTTCTATATCATATTTGAAATAATTTTGTATGAGCAAAACATTTTCTCGTAATTTTTAAAGATAACACTTCATTTTTATTTTCAAAGGCATAGCTTGTATAAAAAATGAAGAGAACAATTTTTATTGATTGAAATAAATCTTGATTTTACTAACTCCTTGTTCTAAAATTGAATCATTGAAAAATCTAATTGTATGTATAAATCTATATCAGTTCCAAATATAGCAATAAATTAAATAAGCAATAGTGTAATTTTTAAGGAAATAATTTTTTTTCTTTTTACCGGCGTGCCACTCCAATAAGGAACATCTCGAAAAGGAAGATTCGGTGCCCAAAGGAGAAGCCATCCTGTCAAAGTAGAAATTGCTATTCCCATTAGAAGTTGAAGCACAAGTAAACTTGAGGCAAGCCTATGTCGCTCCAACACATGAGGTAAGTATTTTCTGGGCACTGAAAAGAGAATCACATTAGAAATTAAACTTAGTTAAAATAATTAACTTTTGATAAACACTGTTAAAGTATGACATTACTACAATATGTACAATATGAAAACTGAAATATATATCTCTAAAGGGTGTCCCGTAAGTAGAGGGAAATATCTAAAGGGGCGATAGACCTCGAGAGCCACGGTTCATAATAAAAGTTCATACAGTGGATTATTTGAAAACCATTGTTTTTTCATTACAGTTATTTTTCCTTATCTGTCCTTTTTAGGTAGTCTAGGAGAAGAAATGAATCAATATTTAATAGAAATGAGAAGAATTTATGAAGATCGTAATATCACAGGGTAACCCGACCAATGAACAACGATGGTTTACGCAGGTTTTGATAAAGGAACGAATGAAGAATTGGATAAGAACACAATTAACCGACTCAAACCATCTGATTCTGGGTAAAGAACCACCATCATTTCATCAAACAGACTTCCATAAATAAAATTTTCCAGGAACATATAAATAGAAACTTAATGACACATTATACTCGTATTTCGATAAAAACATAAAGTACCTCGTTGGCGAAATGTAACTTTCTGATGATTTTAATTTAATTTATTTATTTTACATCTGTATAAAAATATTCATAGTAATATAAAATTAACAAACAAATTGTACTCATTGACAAACAAAGCAAAAAAGAGTTGGACCAGTAACTTAAAATAATATATATATATAACTAAAAAAATTATCATCAGGAAGTTACATTTCGCCAACTACAAAATTGAGGAGTTGGTGGCGAGGGAGGGGGAGGAGGGAAGAGGGATGCGGTCAAATAAATACTAATTTTTTAAAAAATAGTATTTTTAATAGCATGGTAAGTAGTATTATATATTTATTGAGTTGTTTCAAGTCATTCGAGATTATAGGTACATAGGTCGAAACTTAGGCAATCAATTAATATAAGTCCCACTTATGAAGTGTGTGACAAAACGTTACTTTAACATGGTACCGAAGATATGTTCATCAGTTGTAGATCTATCTAATTTCCAGTTAGATACCGATATGCCATAATGGGTTCCTTTAAATCCTAAGTTAGTTGAGGTGCCGCTTAATTTGGTCCTGTTATTAAGCACATAGTAATTGTCAAGTAAATTTTTTTTCAGTTCTCAACGAGCTGACGATTTAGGGGAGCCGAGTTAAAAAAAAATGTATTGTTAATTTAAAAGGACATTGTTGAAATATAAGGATACGTCCCTGAATTTTTAGCCTAAACAATGCATCAAGGTTAAATCCTAATGAAAAAAATTAAATACGCTAACATTCATGACTGTGGTGCTTAAAAATAAAATTGTGCATTGAAAATTGTTTACTAAAAACATTACAATTATACTTATTTATTATAATTAACACTAAAAAAGAATAATAGACAGGTTCATCGTATGGATAAACTTTTTAAATAATGAGTAATGATTCTATGTATAAAAATAAACAATAAATTTATGTATAATGAACATATTGATTTATTTATTTTTTAATGTAAAAGTTCTTTGCATCACTGGTAGTAATAATAAAAAAAAATGGAATACCTATATGGAATCTTAAATATCTATATTAATTAGATTGTCTTAATAAAACATTAATTTCCTCTATCAAATTATCTAGATTTCATTACATTTCAAACAAATGAAGTTAATTATAGATATTTCTTATTAGTTCTTCAGCTGTGGATATTTATTATTTTCAGTTACAAACTATTTTCAGTTACAGCAACATTCTATAAATCCCTTTTCATATATACTTTCTCAATTGTCTACTTATTTGTTGTATATGGCTTATTAGCATATTTAGTATCATAATTATGTATTTTATTTTTAATATTTATTTTTCAATTTAGAAATATCTAATAAGCTGCAGAAAAAATGGCTAAATAATTCAAATGGTAAAACATTACTATTTTTATTCATACAATATTTATGTTCACTCATTATCGATCAGTAGCAGCCTGGTCTTATAGCACTATTGTATA